CCCCCCGCGCCCGAGCACCGCACGTTACAGTGCCCGTGAGAACCAGGCCAGCGTGGTTAGCGACGCCCCTTGCAGAGGTGGTTCACACGGGATCTGCCGCTTTAAAGTGCAGCCAAAGCCCTAGCGGGCCATCCCCTCTATCCCCGCACAGGGCAAAGTGCCACAGGCCTCGTCCGGCGCGTTCCCGGGCTGCCTTTTCCCACGGGAGCACCCCAAATGGGAGCAGCCCCCGGTGATGTCCGGTTCACGTCACCACGACCGCCCAGCTCTGCACGTTCCTTACACCGCTGCACGGTGCTCGGGGCGGCTGAGTGCCCACACTGGGCATTCTGGGGGTTTTCCCACGGGCATTGCAGGATCCCTCCCCAAACCGCCTGGAATTCTGGGACTTGAGGCAGGCTCAGAAATCTCCAGGGTGCCTTTCCTGCGTTCCCATCGCTCCACTGGCTTTGCCATTGCACCGGGCCATGTCCTGAGAGCACCTCTCCTGCAGTTGCTCCAATAGCTGCTTGGGGATCGCCTGGTAAAATGGGACAGGCCGTGATTTGTGGCCCCAAGCAAGGGACTCCAGGATCTCCAGACAGGACCATGCAGAAGCAGAGGGCTTCTAGCACAGTCTCTGGCCATGTGACCTTGACACCCGCTGGCACCGTGAAGGGGCGCCTGTAGGGGTGTGCCCACATTTAAAAGGATGACACCAGTGTAGCTGAGAGCCCAGCTAGCCACACGGGCTAGACGGGTGGGAAGTGGTGCAGTGTGGGATAGCAATGGGAGGACTGCCTGGCAGGGAACAGTTGACTTGTGTCCACACCAACCTTATCCCGGGGTAATTCGTTCTGGAGCAGATTTCTGCCACTTCCAAAGTGGGTTAAGAGCCCAGAAACGCTGGGAAAGGAACGTGGGGCGGGGGGAGGGGGTACAGCCACACGGGCTAGACGGGTGGGAAGTGGTGCAGTGTGGGATAGCAATGGGAGGACTGCCTGGCAGGGAACAGTTGACTTGTGTCCACACCAACCTTATCCCGGGGTAATTCGTTCTGGAGCAGATTTCTGCCACTTCCAAAGTGGGTTAAGAGCCCAGAAACGCTGGGAAAGGAACGTGGGGCGGGGGGAGGGGGTACAAGTTGGCTTATGCTGACACGAACTCAAGTGATGTAAGAAACCAACTTTCTAGTGTAGACAAGCCTGAGACAGTCCGGCTGCAGCCCATCCAGGGGTGGTGCCTCCCCGGAACTGGTTCAGCGCTGTGGATATAACCTCCTTAGGCCCCGTGCAACCAGCATGGCCGGTCCTTCCTCCAGCACCCCGCCCTGCCCCGCTCCAGCCTGGCCTTCGCCCATGCCCCTTTGCCTCCTGGAACCAGCCTCTGGGAGCTCCCAGCCTGCCCGCCCTTGGGCCGTCCCCTCAGGCTGGACTCCAGAGGGACTAGTGCAGCCGTGATCTCTAGACCCGGGTGACTCTCAGCCAGCACAGCACAGGAGAGATTCTTGAGCTTTGCACCCAGCACAGGAACTCGCAGGCCTGTCGGCCTGGCCCCTCCAGCCCAGCGCGACTCAGCCCTGCCCGCTCGCGCTAGCCAGTCCAGAGACTGTGCTACGCAGAGCTCA